TTAGGTAAATAAATTCACGATTTGTGATGTTTTCTTAATTAATTATTAAGTTGAATTCACGAGTCAGTCTAAACAAGACTACCATTGAAAGCCTGGAATCATTGGACATCCGTTTCGTCCTGACATAGAAGTCCTCAGATGTGGGAATCCACGATCTCACATGTGTGACTCGAGCATAGGACCTTCAGTCTCGCACGCGAACACTTAACCTCTAGGACGAAACGATCGTTCAGTGCTTTCATGTTTTTAGGAGGGGGTTCAGATTAGATCAACTTGTGAATTGAACTGTTAAAAATATCACAATCTTCATAAATCCTCCTACTAATAATTATTTTAAGTGTTTGCGAAATCCACAGATAAACGAGTTTTTATCTTTGTTAAGATCAAAGTGTTTTATATTGTGAAATAAATTGGCGTTAAGTTTATTGTCTTCTTATTAACCTAATGTAAATCACAATGGTGTTTCCCTGTTCCAAAATACTTAGTAGCCTCATAGTTACAAAAGTTAATTTAACGGGAACTAACCAACTATTAAACACAAATCAAAAGTTAATCTGGTTAGCGATTTTTAAGCAAGATTTTCTTCTATGGGATGTGGTTACCGACCTTATACCCAACCCTCCTCTGGGCTTGAGACTGGCAGTAACTCAAGAAGAGCTACAGGTGGAGTCAAACAAGACTATCTTCTCTTCTCCTTCTTTTTTTTCTTAACATTTCGAGGTAAAGACGGAATGCAATGCACAGCTTGGATACAACTAGACGGTTTGGACTTTGCAGATGACCAAGCCCTCCTATTACTTACTTACTTACGCCTGTTACTTCTCGTGAAGGAGCATAGGCCGCTCACCAGCATTCTCCATCCAACCCTGTCCTGGGCAATCCTTTCTAGCTGTGTCCAGTTGTAATTCATCGTTTTCATATCTGCTCCTATTATCCGACGCAATGTGTTCTTTGGCCTTCCTCTTGTTCGCTTCCCTTCAGGATTCCAAGTTAGGGCTTGCCTCGTGATGCAGTTTGACAATTTGCGTAATGTATGTCCTATCCATTTCCATCGTCTTTTCCTGATTTTTTCTTCAGCTGGAAGCTGGTTTGTTCTCTCCCACAGAAGGCTACTGCTGATGGTATCCGGCCAATGGATGTTGAGTATCTTGCGTAGAAAACTATTTATAAATACTTGTACCTTCTTGATGGTTGTTGTTGTAGTTCTCCAAGTTTCAGCTCCATACAGTAGAACTGCCTTGACGTTGGTATTGAAGATTCTCACTTTGATATTGGTTGAAAGTTGTTTTGAGTTCCATATGTTCTTCAAATATAGGAATGCTGTCCTTGCTTTGCCAATCCTTGCCTTTACGTCTGCATCCGAACCTCCTTGTTCATCGATTATGCTTCCCAGGTATGTGAAGGACTCTACATTTTCCAGAGTTTCGCCCTCACGAGTGATTGGATTGTTGTTTTTCGCTTTGAATTTGAGGACTTTGGTTTTCCCTTTGTGTATGCTGAGGCCTACTGATGCAGAGACTGCTGCTACACTGGCTGTCTTCATCTGCATCTGTTCGTGTGTACGTGATAGGAGGGCTAGGTCATCTGCGAAGTCCAAATCGTCTAATTGATTCTGAGCTGTCCATTGTAATCCGTGTTTTCCTTCAGATGTCGAGGTCTTCATAATCCAGTCGACCACCAGAAGAAAGAGGAAGGGAGAGAGTAAACAGCCTTGTCTGACTCCGGTCCTTACTTGAAATGCATCTGTCAGCTGTCCTCCATGCACGACTTTGCACTGTAGTCCGTCGTATGAGTTCCGGATAATGTTGACAATCTTCTCAGGAACTCCGTAGTGTCGAAGAAGTTTCCATAACGTCCTCCTGTCCACACTGTCAAATGCCTTTTCATAATCAATGAAGTTGATGTATAGTGATAGCCCTCCTATTCCATACACAATAATAAATGCAGATGAAAGCGACTAGTGTAGCAGCGGCTTTTACATCAGTAGACCTCAATATATACTTAAGAAAAAGCAAGATCCTCATACACAACACGGAGAACACCAACCCAGTTACACTTGATAGTGAGACTCTGGAAGATGTGGAATCCTTCAAATACCTAGGAAGCTTCATCGATGAACAAGAAGGATCAGATGCAAACGTAAAGGCGAGGATTCACAAAGCAAGGACCTCATTCTTACAGTTGATGAACATATGGAACTGAAAACAACTGTCAAACAATATCAAAGTCAGCATTTTCAATACGAATGTCAAAAAAGGCCTAATGAACGGAGCTGAAACCTAGCGAATTACTACAACCATCATCAAGAAGGTGCAAATATTTATAAATAGTTGTTTACGCAAGATACTCAACATCCATTGCCCGGAGACCATTAGCAACAGTCTACTGTAAGAAAGAATAAACCAGCTTCCAGCTGAATAAAAAATTAGGAAAAGACGATGGAAATGGATAAGTCATACATTACGAAAATCACTAAACTACATCACGAGGCAAGCGCGCACTTGAAACCCTGAAGGGAAACAAGAACGAGAAAGGCCGAAGAACACACTTTGTCGAGAATTGAAAGCAGACATCAAAAGAATGAATAGCAACTGGAAACAGCCCAAAAGGTTTGCCAGGACAGGTTTGAATGGAGGGTGCTGATGGGTGACCTATGCTCCTCCACGAGAAATGACAGAAGTAAGTAAGTAATAAACCTTTAAGTAAGAATATTCTGTAATATTAGAACGAATAAGCAGAGATGATGGTGGTTAACGCTGTAATCAAGGACGCATATTTCGTCCTGTTTGGGACTCGCCAACTCAATGTAGATGCATCCCAGAGTTGATGTTCACACCAGGACTGATCTTAGAATTATCCAAGACTGATCATTTACAGTCCTAAATATCAATAAGAAGATTCAAACAACCAATACAACAATGAATTAGACCAAATAGTTTGACGAAAATTGTGCTCCAAGCAGTATAGTAAAAACATTATTTGTGAAGTTTATATTATAAGAATTTCAAACGTTTCGTCCAGCAAACTTGCCTAGAATTCTTCAGGATAATCATCCAAATCAAAATTATCAAGAAAATATTCTTCAAGTAATTGCAAGGAATTTTATTTAGTTTTGTAATTCATATTTCATATAGAAACACAAATTCAACTGCATAGAAACACACACAAATCGTTTGGAAGTATTTCACAGGTAAAAAAATATTTGAACAGCTGATTTAAGGGCTAAAAGAGAGGTTTTATTATTTATTATATTCTAATTAATAACTGATGTAGAATTTTCACTGATTGAAATCATGAGTCAGTCGAAGCTAGAACACCATGGAAAACCTGAAAGCACTAGAAGGCCATTTCGTCCTAGTACGAAACTCCTCAGTAGTGTGCATCCACAATCCCGCACCCCGCGAGATTCAAAACCAGAACCTATCAGTCTCGCGCCAGGCGCTTAACCAACTAGACCACTGAGCCCGCATACAATGGTGTTAATGTTTAACTTCAACCAATCCACGAAATTTCGCGACCATCTTTCATTGTACTGAAGTAGACACCTGTTTCTACCTGACACGGATTCACTCCACTGGTCACGGCTTCTCACCAGAACTGTGAAAATTTTCTCTCGAAGCTAGTCACCAGTGATCACATAGTAATTATCAGTTTAGGGGTTGTGGAGATTGTTAATTTTTTGATTGAGATCATGAGTCATTTGAATCTAGACCACGATGGAAAACCTGAAAGCACTAGACGGCCATTTCGTCCTAATATGGGACTCGTGGATTCGCACTACTGAGAAGTAGTGGTCTAGCTTTAACTGACTCATGATTTCAATCAATGAAATTTCTAAAACTTTTCACAAAACCCCTTCTAATGTAGAATTGTTTAGATATAGATAAAGATCTTATTTCATTTTCTAAAGGGATCAAAATGTGAGGATCATCTTAAATTATACAAAAATAATAACGAAAAACAACATTATCATCATTTGTTGATGTGAATTGTAATAAATCGATCAATCAATCAATCAATCAGTTGTGACCTTTCATTAATTTACAAAGAACACAATATTGAAGTGATCTTGGTTATAACCTATACAAGAGTTGAGCATTATTAGAACAGCATATATAAGTGAACAATATTGATATCGATTAGATCCTCATTAGGCTTTACTCTTATTCACAGTCATGTATTTATTATGTATATACGAAATTAATTAAACTAATCAAGGAAGTTTATCGATCAGTGATGATAACAGTGGAATAGATTACATAAATGAACATAGTAAATGAGTGAGTACAAATTGATAGTGTGATGACATTAACGGCTAGTAAGAAACCTCTCTTCCTGAAGTTGTAATTCAATTGAGATGTAACCAGTGAAGAGAATGTTTAACGCAGTCAACCTCTGTCTAGCGTACTTGACCCAATCTATGATGATTCCTCAACTCTGTTGCTCCATCACGATAGGCAAGCCCGGTCACTACGTCAAGGTAGCAACAACGGTTGAGAGAACATCAAGTGAGGACAATCAAATGTTTTTGAACACAAAATTACAGAGTTTCTTAGTAAAATCTGAGAATCATAGACAACACTTCATTTACAAAATGCTAATCAATTGTCTCAGACTTCATTGTTCTTTCATTTCTACATTAATCAATCACTGTTCTTGTTGCCTTATCTTAGATCTTTTTAACCTTCTATCATCAGGTATTTCCCTACCGATTGATGATACATACTACTTATATCTATCAACATCAATAGCATATACCATACTACATGTGGTTTACTGAGGCAAAAAAAACCCACTTAAAATATAAACTAAGGAAGAAACAACAATGTCAATGTATAAAAATAAATCACATTTCAATATACAACAAAGTTTATTATCAACAATGATCACATGAATCTGATATGATCAATTGACCATAATGTATTTCATTTTAACAATTTCACTATACAATTCAAATAATTTACATGGTAATGAAAGATAATTTCCATGTTAACCAATAATTATGATGTAATCATAATTTTAGATATAAATATACATGACCATTTTATAGTTTTAGTATATAACCAAACACCAAACATTGGTCCAAACCAATATACAATAATATGATTCATTGGTTTAATATTACCAACACCCCATGATTGAATAAATGCATTAGCTGGATTTAAATACATTCCTGTCCATTCAAGACCTGAAATAAATAAGATAAACAAGTAAATATTAGTATAATTGAGAAAAGATATACTTTGTTTCTATGTGTTAATCAACAATATATATATACCATCAATGACCCTATTGATTATATGACATTGCAATGTGTGCTACTTATATCAATATAAGTAGTATACAACGCTAGTTAGGAATAGAATGTCTGGCATTAAAAGATTAAGAAGACTGAGAAGGAAAGAACAGGAAGAGAAAGCGATTGGTATTGAAATGCAGGGACAATGAAGTCTTAAACAATTGATGAAAATTTTGCAAATGAAGTATTGGAGTATGGTGGCCTCCTTGAGCATCTGGGCTATCTGTTCCTGCCATCTAGATATTTCAACAAGTTATCTATTTTTTTTTGTCTTAATATATCATTATGTTTATTAATCGCATAACCTATTTTGCTGCGTTTCTGAAAAGTGTGCAACCTTTCGTTGTCAAAGTTACAAAAAAAAGACTCAATAAGAGACAATGTGGTTGCTGGCAATATACAACGAAAAGAATGTACATTATTCAGATGTTCATTCAGTGAACTGCTAACATCTAACTGGCGATCACTCAATATTTATCGCCAGGACCGACCAAGAAGAAAGAAACGGAAACTTTTTGAAATACTTTTCGCTGAGAATTCTATATTGTACCAAAAATACATGATATTGAATAAAGCTGATGATAATAATAATAATGGTGTGGTGTGTGCTTCTTATGTTGACATAAGTAGTATATGATGTTAATGGTGAACAGAAGGTCTGGCAGCAGAGAGACAAGAGGATCGAACAGTAAAGAATAGAAACAGAATGCAATTTGTATGAAAATGTAAGAACAATGAAGTGTGAGTCATTATGAAACAAATGATTGACATTTCGCAAATTAAGCATTTACTTTATGATTGTTAGATTTTATTAACAAAACGTGTAATTTTGTGTTAAACACATTCGATTGTCCCCATCCGTGTTCTTGTTCACTACAATGGCTTTTCTATTTCATCAAGTAATGTAATCCGTTGTCTTCACCTGTGTTCTCCTTCAGCACAACATTTTTATCAGTTAACAAATAACTACAAGCCTTTACGTGTTAAAGAAAAACCAAACTAAACTTGGATGATATGCATACGCATCTTCTAAGGTTACTATTACAGATGTTAAAGACATCGAGCTTACCGTATGTATGACATCCTACTATGTAGGTGAAATTTTTACTACACTATACAGCTTTATTACAGTTGGTTTACCATTGTGTAATGACGAGTGTCATGTATTTCAACTCTTTATAAGTGATGTTTGAATTTCATCTATTGAACAGCGATTTGGCTACTTTTCTGAGTGATTCAACATAGCGTGTACTGTGTTGAGATATAAGGTGAGGAAATCAATGCTCCATGACGGGTCCGATCCACTAAAGTTCGTCAATATGATATATTTATCACTGATATTAGAAAAAATTTATATCTAGAGCTTAGATTCTTAATATACCGCGTATAACTTGAGCACTCGAACGCTAGAACACTGTAGTGGCAGTTATTATGCTAAGTCCATATATCTTATTCTAGCTTTCGGACATCCCATCCTATTCATTTTACTTGAGCCATACTTTGAACTTGTTGTTTATTCGCTTATGAATCTAGACTGTTTTTATATGAGCGTATATGTGTGTGCCCTTCTTATCCCATTAATCACATGTCTGTAGCTTTATTTTGTCTGACTATAAATATTGAGTAACGCTTGACTAAAATGGAGTTGGCTTCCCAGCCATCTTCCCTGCGTGTCATTTTGTTTTGCTCTGTTTCATTCGCTTCATATACAAAAATATATGTATTCACAAATCAATTCTCGTTATTCGACTTATTTAATTCCATTATTCGATAACGTGATTAAAGTCGACGTTTATATACGAGAATAGGCGATAACAAACATTTATACGATCTAAATAGGAGTCAGATCCACGGGACACTAAAATGGTGAGCCCTTCAACGAACATCATCCGATCTAAATGAGGAAAAAATTAAATGACAGGCCACCAAAGCACACCCACGTAGCAAATGAGAAAACAGAAGACAAGTGAAAGGAATGCTATTCCAAACAGTGTCAATTATAGTACCAAACTGTCATGTACTTATAGTTCTTAGTAAACAAGAAATCAGCATTTGAAATAACAACAGAATTGGACAAATAATGGAGTATGTAAAGGATAACTCAAAGAAACTATGTAAATGATGTATTTAATGTATGATTTTCATATTTGACAAGAACACTGTGTAGTTTCGTACTAAACAATACATCAGTTGTCTCACTATGTCTCCAGCTGTTACGCTTGCAGTTGAATAAACTCAAAAAGCATCAGATACATTGTTCATTATCACTGTTATTTCACAGTCTTGTCTGATATCGTCAAATGCCAAGTTCTACTATTTAGAGTATGTACATACAAACACGTATAGAATTCAAGTTAACCTTTCGTAATTTCAAGTTTTTGAGTCATTCAGTTTACTGATTGAAGTCATGAGTCAATTGAAGCTAGAACACCATGGAAAACCTGAAAGCACTGGACGGCCGTCTCATCCTAGTATAGGACTTCTCACAAATGCGCATCCACAATCCCGCATCCCGTGAGATTCGAACCTAGGGCCTATGAGTCTCGTGCCAGGCACTTGACCAACTAGACCACTGAGTGACCGGCATCCAACGGTGTTAATGTCTTACTTCAACCAATCCACGAAGTTGCGCCACCATGGTGCTCTAGCTTCGATTGACTCATTATTTCAATCAGTAAAATTTTTAAAATCACAAAAAACCCTTCTGTTCATTTAGTTTAGACAAAAATTTACCGAAGAGTAACAATACTTTGATAGAGATGAGATATCTGCTTCATAAGTGACATTTGTGTTTTAGAAAAGCAACACAACTATACTTCAAGATACTTAATTGAAGTTATTGATTGATGAAAGTCAAGTGAAATTCATCTCTGTCAAACTTTAGGAATTCAATTTCCCACTCATTTAAAAACCAAATATATCTTATTATCATTGTTACCAGGCTTCAAAGCCCAATAAACGTAAATTAAGGAAATGCTTCAATTGAAAAATGTCATAGATCAAAAAACTTATTATTGAGCGTCATTTAAATTATTAAATTCCATATTTCATATAACTGATTGATCTTATCTAAACAAACATTCAAAGTCAAGAAGTATTGGATAGTTGTTTTGTTCAAGTATGAGACTTTTCAACGGTTCTCATCCCTAACCCCATTGAGGATTGAGTTCAAGACCATCTGTGTGTCGGGTTAGAGACGAATATCAGAAATTAAAATGAATGATGACCGGCGAATATATAGAATTAGTCGAGGTTAAACAAGTAAACCACTTGTTGTCAGCCAAATGTTCTGAAGTTTAAGCATTCACTGAGACAAACGAAGGTCCCGCATTCGACCCCTGATTGGACCATGGATACGCACCATTAAGGGCTTTGATATTAGGAACGAACTGCCGTTTAGTGTTTTCTGGCTTTCAGTAGTTATCTGAATAACATTCGTCCACTAACTGAAGTATAAACATGACCATTGTAACTAACAAAAGATTCAGTCCATTGTAGTAATGATTTTGAATTTCAATAGATAATAACTGGTTTCTTAACCCTTTGAATAAACAAGGATTCAATGAGAGTACGCTATATTTTCAACATCATTGAACAAAAGTTATTACTTCACATCAAGTTTTATTTACCAATATAATCTGTCAGGAAAAGATGATATGACAAATCATTTGAAGAATATCAAATAGCTAAGCTTAGTCGAAAAGAAGCTTTGATTCGTCTAGATTAACAGCTCATTAAAATTCACCAGCAAGGCATATTTGAAATCATTAAAGAAACCGGCACTTTCTGTAGGATTCTCAGCCGCATCATTCAGCTTCATAATGTGAGAGGTTACATATGGGTAATTTTATCATGAAAGAATAATAAATGTGTAAATTCATTAGATTGTAAGATACAACTTACCATAAGCTATTAATGTAAGAATAATCAATAATCTGATAATATAAGACATAAGAAATTGTTTCCATGTTAATTCACAAACATTCGACATTTGAGACATTGTCATTTTCATTTCACTGTCATTTGTAGAAGATGTTGTTTGTGAAGTATTATATTGAAGACAATGTAAATTCCAATGTTCTAATATACATGTAAATAAACTATTCAAATATAAATCCATAAAAGTTACAATCCCTTCACATAAGAATCCAATACTTATTACAACTTGTAAATCTGAATTATAATTCATTAATAATTGAGAATTTAACATTTTTAATGCTAATTTATAACGTGCTGAATGATACACAGTTAATTGTAATGACCACCAGTATATACATAATTTAAGTGCTATCAATGCAGATAGAAATTGTAATGTCCATGTGAAAATCATCCATATTGGTTGTGTTTGACCAAGTAAAAATCTTGAATATCGAGAAAAAAGATACAAATTATCATGATAAACTAATTTAAGTTAGTAAATCACTGAAGATCAAGAATTATCATTCAGTTACTTTGTTCTAGTAGTTGAATTCTCTATTAGATCCATTCAGAACTACTTCAATGACTGAACCTAGAACCTTTAGATCACATGACAAGCGCCTAAACATCAGATCACTTAGTTGATGTTCGATATTTTATGTTCTTAATTTTTATTAGTTAGAGAAGTTGAGTTCATTAATTATGAAAAGGCATTTGACAGTGTGGATAGGAGAATGTTATGGAAATTTCTACGACACTACGGAGTTCCTGAGAAGATTGACAGTATTATCCGGAACTCATACGACGGACTACAATGCAAAGTCGTGCATGGAGGACAGCTGACAGATGCATTCCAAGTAAGGACCGGAGTAAGACAAGGCTGTTTACTCTCTCCCTTCCTCTTTCTTCTGGTGGTCGACTGGATTATGAAGACCTCGACATCGGAAGGAAAACACGGAATTCAATGGACAGCTCAGAATCAATTAGACGATTTGGACTTCGCAGATGACCTAGCCCTCCTATCACGTACACATGAACAGATGCAGATGAAGACAGCCAGTGTAGCAGCAGTCTCTGCATCAGTAGGCCTCAGCATACACAAAGGGAAAACCAAAGTCCTCAAATTCAAAGCGGAAAACAACAACCCAATCACTCTTGATGGCGAAACTCTGGAAAATGTAGAGTCCTTCACATACCTGGGAAGCATCATCGATGAACAAGGAGGTTCAGATGCAGACGTAAAGGCAAGGATTGGCAAAGCAAGGGTCGCATTCCTATATTTGAAGAACATATGGAACTCAAAACAACTTTCAACCAATATCAAAGTGAGAATCTTCAATACCAACGTCAAGGCAGTTCTACTGTATGGAGCTGAAACTTGGAGAACTACAACAACAACCATCAAGAAGGTACAAGTATTTATAAATAGTTGTCTACGCAAGATACTCAACATCCATTGGCCGGATACCATCAGCAATAGCCTTCTGTGGGAGAGAACAAACCAACTTCCAGCTGAAGAAGAAATTAGGAAAAGACGATGGAAATGGATAGGACATACATGACGCAAATCATTAAACTGCATCACAAGCCCTAACTTGGAATCCTGAAGGGAAACTTAAAAGAGGAAGGCCTAAGAACACATTACGTCGGGAAATAGAATCAGATATGAAAAGGATGAATAGGAACTGGAAAGGATTGTCCAGGACAGGGTTGGATGGAGAATGCTGGTGAGCGGCCTATGCTTCTTCACAAAGAGTAGCAGGCGTAAGTAAGTAAGAGAAGTTGAGTAACTAGATCATGAGTTTGATACTTTATGAGGTCGTGGACATACACTACTGAAAAATACCATAATTGGATGAAACAGGTGTCTAATGAATTCTACCTTTTAATGTTTAATTGACCACAGCTAGTCCATGACTTAAAACTTCATATTCAACAATCTTTACAATATCCTATAGTAAAAAGTATCAAGAAGCTTCCAAGAATAAGTTTGACACAAAATTCAACTACATTACAAAACAGCTCATCATCAAGTTGATAATTTTAGTTATCATTCCTTTTAGATAAGTAAATGTTCAGTTTTTTCGATTAATTATGTGTCACCCAGTAGCTAAAAGGTTTTCTTTGGTTTAAAAACTCTATAGGTTTGAGTACCACAATGAGTTGTTCTATCTGTAAACATTTCAGTCACTTATGAACATAAATGTGTTAACATAACTTTCCATAATATAATCGTAAAATGAGATGAAATTAAACAGATGAATCAAATGAATGTAGTAACAATGATAGCCAGAAATAATGAGCATCAAGAATATGACTTGAGATGACATGAAGAAGCATATGTATAAAATAATATTGTAATTGAAGATCTATAGGAAGATAAGGAGCAAATAGAGCTACAGCGTTGTGAATGATTCTGAATGATGTCACCCAACGTTTCCAATCACTGTTCGACATTATTGCATGGACTTTAATCACGTAGTTTGCATCTAGAAACATGTCTCAGACCAACAGTTGTTATCCTTATTGACCGATCTAAAGTTTCAGGTCCTACTTAACTGGTGTTCTAGGAACTACATATTTACAAGGGAGTAAAAGTCAAACCAATCTATAGTTACACTTCAATGAAATATTCTAATATTTAAGTGTTCTAGGCAACTATTTTGTTCCAGTTTAAACTCTTCATCAGTAGGCCACGTAAAATGAAGCATTTCAGAATATCACGTGACCATCATCTAATTCCATCCATTCATCCATTCATAACGTGAGTTACTTCCAAATGAACAATCTCCAGTAGCATTCTACTCTGATGGTATCGTTTCATGTAGTAAGATTGATTTTTTAAAATCTATAGTTTGTACTTTTGTGTATCACATACATTAATTAAGGAAATTAGTCTACAACCGAATATCATATGTACTAACTTAAGAAGATCTATATCCAAGGAAAAACAGTTATGTATGATATCGAATTGAAATTACATTATCTGAGAGCACACTAAAGAATTCTTCAAGTAACAAGCTCATGATTTCAAGATTTTCCAACAATTGTGATACTACTGAAAACGTCCAAACGTACACAATTTAACTATCTATTACTTTTTGGATTGAATCGATCAGTAATCAATCCTACATAATGATTAAAGTTATTTATTTAACAGAGTTGAGCATAAATATTATCACCTGTACCATGGACTACAAGGATTTCCATAAGTATCAAATGAAACAAACAAGCTTGAACGAATACAATTTAAAGCGATAGCAACCAAAAGACCCCAATAACCGAAAACTTCACGAACAATCCAACATTCTAAACTGCATGCACAAAGTTCAATTGTAGCCACAGCATCTAATATGGCCAACAATAACTTTGGCTTTGAATAAAAATGATTGTCTATTGGATTACTGAAATTTACAAATGGAGATTTAGCAAGCAGCTTTGATATTACATTTAAGCTAATGAAACTCTTTCTGGATTCCTGAGTCGTTTGAGAGGAGGAAGGGACAGAGTTGAATAACTGAAATAGAAACATAAAAGTCAGTAGTAATTAATTTTATTTCATTGTTAAATATGTATAAAGATCAGATGATTCTAAATAGTAAAATATATTTCTTTCAATAGTATGGTGGTGTAACGAGCTACATATTTCATAAAGCAACTTAATGCATGCCAAAGGATGTTGGATCGAGACATATACGACTTCACTGATATGAATTCTAGCAACAACAAAAAATACATTGAGTCGTTAAATATGAATAACACTGATCACTTGAGTTTCATAAAGGACGAATTGAAACCTGAATATGTAAACATCTCATATTAAAAGATCAGATTTAAATGATTCACTCATTGTTCAAGGTAAATCCTATACAACCCAGAACAATTTATATGTGCAAACTGCACATAATCATGTAAACAGACTTATCAGATAAACAGATAGATAGATAACATATTACAGAGGTCAAAACATAACCATCAATGGTATTACAGTGAATAAGAACATCAGCGACGCTGAAGTGACCCTGAGAGTGAACAACTACTAAGTGAGACTAAATGAGGGTTATAAAGCAGTTAGAATTCCCATTTACAGTTGATAGTTAGGGTTAAAAATTAGATTTAAGAGTTTTCATCACGAACTGACATCAGCTATGATGCCGAAATCCTATTTAGCCAAATGTATGGGTGAATTCTGCGCCCAAATTTGTGACTCGTTATCTTATATCTGATTGGTTCGTCCATAAATTATAGTCTCGCCGTTGATACAACCAAATGTTTTTTTGAACACAAATTACAGAATCACTTTGTAAAATCTGAGAATCAATTTATTTTCAAATTTTCAATCAGTAGTCTCAGACTTGATTGATTCTTCGTTTCCACATCAATAATTCTCTGTTTTCCTTCTCTTTTCTTCGATCTTCTTCATCTTCTCTACCATTAGACATTTAACTTTTGATTTATGTATATACTACTTATATCTGTCGACATAAGTAGCACATATCAAAGTATTATAAATTGCTAATATGATGCTTAATAACAGTATATCTTCTGAAATCAATCATATAATCATGTTCAAAAAATAGGAGAAATATGTATACTTAATCACTGTGTGATTTTAACAGATAAACCTCAGAGTATATTATCACTCGAATAACAAGTGGCTATTTTTATGAATTCAGAGAATCAGACAAATACATTTGCCTCTTTTGTTCATGACTCGTAAACAACTAAGCAAAAGTTATTATTTAACTGAATTCAAAGAAAAAATAACTTAATGAGAAGAAATGAAACTAGATGTATCAGGGTCAACAAGACTAGATTTACACTATGCAACTTATACTCTGAAATCATTGATGATAATGACTTGATCATTGTTCTTATCTAAAATGTTACCACATCCAACGCAGTCCATTCATATATGTGGTAAATCAATTACTTTAGTTTCTTATAGACGAAAGTTTTTACTATCACAATTTTATATAAAGACTTCTTACGTCTTTCCATAGTAACCCCAATAAGGTGATCAGCTCATGTGATTGAATGAATATAAATATACGTACATGCTGTCGTTTATTGATTGACGTGATTTTTTGATAGAGATATGTCTTACACGAGACAAAACTCACTTCAATATCTTTGATTTAGCCATACACTCAACTTGGCCGCTTAACTACAATAAAATAAGTATGTTGGGCAGTTAATTCCAAGCTTCTGAGTGTCAGTTTTGAATCCATGACAATTAATTGGAATTTAGAGATCTCAGCAATACCACTGGCACTGATCAAACTACAGTGTCATTCAAAGTTGTATAAAATAATTTTAACTTTTTAAATTAGTGAATAAATGATCTCATGACGAGACCATATTATATGAATGAACCAATCAGATTGAGGATAATAGGTCTCGCATTTTCACGTGAAATTCATTCACCCATTTGGCTAAATAGAGTCTTGACATTATAGCTGACACTAGTTTGTGATGAAAACCCTAAATCTAATTCCTTACACTAACCATCAACTATGAATCATGATCCTTATTCTTCAAACTGCTTTATGACCCTCATTTAGGGTAGACACCTTTTAAGGTCACTTTAGTGTCATTCAAAGGTCATCCATGAATTATAGTTTCATCGAAGGAAGTTTATTTTATTTGTTTTAAATGTGAAATCGTTAGACAAGAACCTTTTTTTAAAAAAATAATAATATGTCATTAAATAATACTAATATGTGTCAAGTTACCGAAACTAATACATTTCTTATTAACCATGATAACAGAGTGACTATAGTCCAAAAGAAAGCCACAAACAGTGTAGTTGCTACAATACTGTTATACATTGATCCTTCCATTTTAATTGACTCAGTTGATTTATTCATTGGTGTGATATCTGTCAAGAAATAAAAATTTTAAGGTTAAACAAGATCTTTACAGTAATAGACATTAATTTAGTGAGTTAAATTAAAATTTCTTCTAAAATAAGAATCTTTATGAGGATAAATTTATAATCAGAATGATGTTTTGTGGAGATTATAGTAATGTAATAGTTGAATTTATGAATCGAATGAAGCTAGGCCACCATGGGAAACCTAGAAGCACTGGATGATCTTTTCATCCTAGTATGGAACTCTTGATCAGTGTGCAGCCACGATCCGGCTTCCCGCGAGATTCCGACCTAGGAACTATCAATCTCGCGCGCCTACGCTTAACCTCTAGACTACTGGGCCGGTATCCAACGGTGTTAATGTCTAACTTCAACCAATCCACGAAATCGCACTACCGTCCACCATTGCATTAAGTGACTCAATTGACTCATGAATTCAATTATTAAATTACTATAATCTCCACAAAACCCATCTGTGATTATAATCATCATATGCTCGCTAATGACTGCCTTCAAGAGTTATTTCTTGGAGTTCTAGTGAGAAGCTGTGACCAGTGGCGTTCAGTCAGGTCTGTTGTGAGATAACAACTCACTGAAGACAATGGTGGACGGTGGTGCGATTTCGTGAATTGGTTAAATTTAGACATTAACACCGTTGGATGCCGGCTCAGTGGTCTTAGGGGAAGGGCGTTAACACGCGAGACTGGAGGTCCTGTGTTCGAGTCCCCCGTGGAGGGTCGTGAATGCGCACTGATGAAGAGTTCCATACTGGGACGAAACGGCCATCCAATGCTTTCAGGTTTTCCATCGTGGTCTAGCATCAATTGACTCATGAGTTGAATTATTAAATAAATCTATAAGTTAGTGACTTTTTGTTTCATATAGTTGTTCAAAAAGAAGTTATCATCCACTAAACCACTAACTATAAACTTTTTGAAGTAAAAAATGTTCAATATTTCTTGGAGATACCGATCATCCCCCAGATTTGTTATTGTTTACAGCAATATCTATAGAGCTTCAGTCATATAGCATAAATTCGGACTATATAACTGTTAAATCCACATTGCTTATTATATGTACTTGAAAAACGAGCAACCATTACAATTTCCACGACACAATGTAAAGACAAGGAAGACTGGTACAAGTGAAGATTTATTTCCCTTCAGAACATGAAGACGACCTTAGTCGAAACTACATTCATTTATATATTGATTTCTACAATCGTTTGGATAATAATAAAAAATGTACAGAATTATAAGAAATCATGTGTTGTATATCACGTTAATTTAATACAAAGAATACCTTATCCTTAATAAACATCACATTGATATAAATCAATGTAATATTCTTGTGTTGTTCATTTGTACCATTTAAACTTGGATTAATTTTGATTTGCTTATTTATTCATTCTTTGAAAAAGTAGCCTACACTGAGTTGCGAAACATCAAAAATATTACAAATATGCTATCTTATTTATATCAACCTATCCAATTCTCATTTTATTCGAACTTATCAAGTTAAACCTTGGTAATGATAACCACAAGATCAATATAATAATGATTCAAATAGTACAATGAAAAATCAAACCGATATTACATTAAATAATCATCATATTGAATTAGAAAAGAAAGAAACTAGAAGTAATGTTGAACAAGTATTACAAAAACTTAACCACTTAATTTGGTGAGGCTGTAACTTATGAACTAACCAATCAGATTTACGATAACAGGTTTCGGATTTTGGCACAAAATTCACTCATCCATTTGGATAAATAGAGTTTTGACATTATAGCTGATGTCAGTTCGTAATGAAAACCCCTAAATCTAATTTCTAACCTTAACCATCAACTGTAAATCATATTTCTAATCCTTCATACTGGTTTATAACCCTCGTTTGACCCTAGTTGTTATGTGAACACCCTCAAGATCAATGTGGTGTTGCTCAAAGGTCGTCCATAAATTATAATCTCACTCTTAATTTATTACCTTACAATATTATGAAACCGATATTATTTTCATCGATCGCACAATAATTTACCTTGAACTTGTAAATTAGATTCAGATTTATACTAATCGGTTTGTAGGTTTTATCTGAATAAATGAACTAGGTCTAGTAATAATAAACAAATAAATATACTAATAATATAAATGTGAAGAAAACGTTTTTAGATTTCAATAGTCTGATATATTTTAGCAAATGTTATAATTCAACAAAAAAAAGGAGTAAAGTTGTCATTGGTTTCTATTTAAAACATTAAGCATCATAAAATTATTTTCATTTTAGTGGATTTAAGTTACTTAATATAACTGTATATGATAACATTGTCGATTTTTATAAGCTTATGCTCTATAATCATTTGGCTACTTATATAGTCTTTAATCTCTGATCTATTCTTGAAGAATTTTTTAACAATGAAAGAGAGCATTTTCATTTGTATTTACGAAAGCTAACAAGTGAAAAAAAATAACGATGGACACTTCTGTAACTTCATTTTATCTATTCAAGTATCAATATTCACTCAAGAACTATGTTCAGGTTCCCTCTTGATTTTTCTGTACACCATTTTGTATGTAACAGTAATTACCAAAGATAAAAAGCACATTTTACCTACACTGCTTACTGTTCTCACTATATTAGCGACCGCATCAAAAGATTATTAATACAGTTGCTGTATACATTTATAGCTTGTATCGCTCATTTTCTCACGCTAATTGAGAAGGACGCCTACTGCCTATTAAAAAATGTGGCATTTCCAGAAAAACGTATTTCGGTTGCTTATGCAACTCACAAGGAACTACCATTAAATCATGTAAAGTGTACTAGTTTCTAATGTCGCGAAACAGCAAATCCTCATGAAATGATTTGTCAGACGAAGCAGAAGGTTAGGGAATTTATCTTTGAATTGCAAAAACAAGCTGCCAAGTGCAATTTTGATGGTCAACTTCATGTGCAGCTGTGAGATTGATTTGTTGCAGGAACTAGCATATCAGATCTGGAGAGAGGGTTGTTAAAAATGCCAAAGTGTTCTTTTCAAGATGCTAGAACTGTATGTACCAATTGTGAAACGGTGAATGAACTCGGGTTTCAGTCGGTAAAATTTTTTAACATCTTGCCTAGTCGTCGTGATGAAATACACTCTCATGGTTGATTAAAATCGCGTTTGTTTAATAATATTTCCTATCCCCATGGAATTATGAAATGTGATTTATTATAAAATTGCAAAGCAAATTACAACAGTGAGCACAAGTTTAATTCACGTTTATTCTTAGGTCAATATCATTAACGTAATTTGTGTGTCTTTCGTCGTGCCAGATGCTTTAAGTGTGATATACCGGAGCATATCCAATCGATCTGCAAAACTGCTGTTTCTTTCACCGCTAGTAATACTGGACTTTGTAATTCGAATCCTATTGATTTGAGTGACTTCAATGATTATATGTTGTCCCTATTTACAACTTAAAATAATTCACTTTATATTTAAAAACGATCATATCTATCTAGTTGTGCCTTTAGTGATTTTGCTGTTGACATTGGCAGTATCAAGTGCATCATTTCGATTGAGAAGTTGAGACCATTAAATCCCAATGCAAGAATTATACCTACCAAAGTCTCCATTTCAAATATTATTGGTCACAAGCTTTTTATTCTAGAATGTCGTAGTCTGTTTATTAGACATGAAAAATCTTCAACTATAAATTGTAAATTTCTAATTACTGAACGTGAACTGTCAACATTACGTCTAGAAAATTTAAGAATGCTTCAGACGGAACACTCCTAAATGACCTCTAGAAATGGTTTCAATGATGTGCTTGATAACTTCAAAATTACGGAATTAAAGTGAGAAAAACTACGCGTGACTCCAAAGCCCTATCATACTCATGTGCAAGCCAGAAATGTAAAAACCCTGAAAACAAAAGTCAGTGATACTATTACTGCAGTGATGGAAGACCCAGAGAGAAAAACAAAAAAAGTTCTTCAAAGCTAAATTACTAGATAAAACGTTAAAAAGCAATAAATAAATTACTTAAACAAAAATTTCTTCGTAAAAGAACTACTTTTCCACTATCCATAGAAGGTCTACTGAAATAGGTTCATAAATCTGTAGATTACATGAGAGATGGTCACAAAAACTGAGGGCATTATGAGGACCAAGGTGTGTTCGTTTCAACTTCATTTTTAAAATTTAATACTAATGAGCGTGTTCTAGATCAAAAAGAGTCTGTATACAATACACAGTCTGACGGACATACAAAGACGTTCAATCGACTGCAGAAACTTAGATTCCACTTTAAGCTGTGGCGGATGTGGCGTTTGTATGAACTGATGATTCTCTTGTACTTGACGTTTATCTGGTTTAGAATTCCAAATACAATACGTTTGTTTGTGCTCGCATAATTCTTTTGGCTTAAATTGAGCTATTCCGGGGATTTCTAGCTCGTATGTTAGTTCGATTACTTCTAATTATCATACAGCACCATCGATATAAGTTTAAAAAGAGAGACCGGATTTTCACTGGAGGAAAACTGCAAGAACTGACACAGATGCACCTACCTATTATTTTAATTACTGAAGACTGTTATTATAATGCATGAATTTATTAGTTGCATCACAGTTATGTGCTTTATTAACTTAAAGAATATCAAGATGAATCTAATAAATTTTAAAACAGCTATCACACAACGCAGAAGTCCTTAAAACCGTCACTGCACACTATAATTATAAGTCAATTGTTCATATTATACTGTATGAAGATTAGTGTGGATGCATAGAACAAAAAAGCCTCATCTGTGACGAAAATGTAAAAGGGTTCTCAAAACGTCATCATATATGGGCAAATGAAGCTTCTAAGAGAGTACAAAACATACTTGAGTTTACACTCGAAAACAGATACGTTCTAATGAAAATATATGAACTGTGCTACAAATAGGTGGCCTTGAAACAAAATAATCACTGGTATAAAAAAAGCATTTTAGAACATACATATGGTATTTTGATCGATCTATGGAATATATACAAATCATGGATCAAAAATCTTTTTGAACAAGGTAAAACTAATAAATCTGAGCGTGGAAGGAATCTTGAGAAACTATTATTTAAATATATATAAATCTGTTAAGCTGACTGAGTTTGGGTTAAGTAGTTGGAATATGCATAGACACATGTATTATATCACGTTGTTGGACGGCATAAAGTTACCCTCTGATGAACTCGTACTAGGAGAATACACAGTATTCTAAGCTTATATATGAAAGCGATAGAATCTGTGACGAGAACTGGGGGATAAAAGTTTACAAATTTTCCTGGAAGTCAAGGAATTGTAAAGTTTAAGTATTCAAGTGCAGTATGTGTGGAACCGGTTTTCCGAAGTTCAGCAGTTTTTCTGTTCCTTGTAGAGGATTTACAGATCAATATGAGATATTCAACGCACGGCAGAATCGATAATCATACCATTATACCGTAGATGGTCAACCATTCTTAGAAATCAAACATTGGCCACTATTAGCCTATCTATTTCACAGAATCAAAACCAGATACAACTGAATGTGGCAGAAAACTGAGTGCAGTTATGCTCCAAAATATAAGTTGTCTTCGCTTTATCTATATAATCTATAATAGTTGATAATTTATCCGGTAGCGCATCCATCTTATCAAGTATTTATTTATTGAGGGCAAGCAATGTGCCCATTGTATTGTCGAATGAGTGGATAAGACAATTACAACTTGCAGTAGACTTTGGAAACACACATTTGTAGTTACTCACTTTTATCACGAGAAGACGATTGGTTTAATGAAAACAATTATTATTATAACAAAATGTACCAGTGCTTGTTTAAATGCGCTTTTGCTTAACTGTGCTAATTACAGCCATTTTGTGCTTCCATTAAATTCTATCATTGTTCCACGGTTTTTGACTTTGTTCGCACGTACTCCATTCTCCTGCTTTCGCTTGTACCATTTCTTGGCACGATATTGGTATTTGTTTGATACCACGAGATCGCAAACGAAATAAACCTGGTTACGTTCAACCTTCGCCTTCTGATTTGCTTGGTACGCGTTTCCTTGTAGTGGCGCTCATAGTCAATCTCAACTCGACACCACGCTACACATATATGAATGACTACAGATTGTTTACTAATAAACAATTACTTTCAATCGTTACGATCAGTTCCAGAAAGAGATTATGAGTGATTCGAGACAACTCATTCAACTAGTTTTTAAAGATTGATAAATTGGGAACGCTTCAACATACTTACTGGTGTGTGGTAGTAATAGTGAATGCGATTGGTCACTGACTACGTTCAAATAAACACTTAATCAACTATTAAGTGTGATATCCATTCCTTTCACTGATTACTACTACGGACTCACTGAGAATAACTGCCTCTCACTTCTGTGAAATAAGATAGTTTCTGCAGTTGTTTCGGCTTTTCATTCTTGGTTAAGAACCGTTCATCTGACATCGTGATCTACAATGTGTATAACATATTGGTCGACTGTCCAATCAATCGGTATTATGAACCCGGTCACCTAGACTAGACTTATTATAAAATTACTGTAGTAGATTGACCACACTACATAGAGAGAGGGATATTTTAAATCACGTTTCATCTATTATCTTTGATAAATCATTTGTGACTAGCCTATTTGCATCAAAACCACGTCACACGTCTTTAGTTAAATGGGACATTTGGCATGGTTCGTCGGAAACTAGGGGGAAAGCTTTGCCAGATTGTTAATAAATAGAAACATTCACAGAATTCTTGAGGGAAAAGTTTCAGATGTTTCGTATCTTTTAAAATTTTGCGTTTCACGTACAGCATACTACACATCAAGTTCTTTGCCGTAAATACAATAGAGAGATTCAGTATTTGTCATCTGCAATACGAAGTACAAGTTCAGTTCTTTGCTTTCTTGTACACACCATAGTTAAGTCTGTGAGGGTATTTGTAGTGTCTGGTACTATGTCAAGCACATATTGGTTATTTTAGCTTCTGGACAGACCAATTAGCCATTCTTGATAAAACATATTTCGGCTTTATTAATTTTTCGCTTAGTAACTCTGACGTTTTAGGTTTTTAGGTTGCTAACCTCATTCAGTATGCGTCTCCTAATTTTTTTCATCTGAATATAAATATTGAGTTACGCTTGATCAAAACGATTTGGCCCACATACCTTCTCCTCTACTCGACACTTACATTCATTTCTTGTCGCTTCGTATCCGTCACGTCGTTTCCCTGTATATTCGTCTGGATCAATGAGTGAATGAAATGCACGTTTTCAAAATTCATCCTCGTATTTGTTTTATTTCATCCCTTTATACTCTAACAGGAATGATATATGAGGGTTTGTGACATATGTGTTTCGACAACAACCAGTTTACAATTTAACTGGAGTCAGACATCGGGTTACTAAAAGTCTAGCAAACATCACAGCTGAACGTCTCTAAACCCTAACTGAAGGATGTGAGATTCTTCTATGTTTGATTCTACACGTAAATGAGTACGTCTTCGTGAAAATCGTAATGTTCTAATTTTATATCGCAAAAAACCCTGATCTTTTTTTTAATTTAAAGAGGTTATTTTTTGAAACTTTCATTTACACGTTTCATTACCTTTTCGATCACAAATGAAATTGTTATCACTGAGTTCAGTTGAAATTTTTATTTTAGAAAATGCCTCTATCGCAAAATTCTAGTAAATCTTACCAATGTTGTCTTTTTCTTTAAATAAAACTACTGACAAGTTCCTTGTCTAGTTTCGAATTGTTGCTGGTCAAGACCATTGAACTCAATCACTGTTTTTAACTGAAAGTAGTCTGTTCAGATTATTGGAAGTGTCCTACTTTGCTAATGAACTGACTGATTAACAATGCTTAAGGTTCAAGTTATTTGGCGTTTGCTTTTGAGTGCTGTTATCCAACAGCATTCATTCACCCACTGAAATCATGTTACCTCTTATTAAAGACTCTTTCGGTTGCAAGACCTGATGATTTTATTCGATTAGCTCTATGTAACACGCTGTCATGCAAATATATTGTCTCTAATACGACATTTCTCAGTTCACCTATCGGTTTAATATGGCGACACAAAGTGGAAGTTTCTATATCATTTCCAATTGTCCGGTCAACAACAATTAATATGGGGTTTATATTTCACATAATCGTTTGCTCTACACTATATTTAATTCGAATTAACATTCTCTTTTATTAGAATCATTTCCTAACTAAACACTGAGTTTTGAATAATTTTATCAAAAAAAGTGTCTGACGTTAAACTGTGGACTATGCAGTACCTAATTATTACCAATCAGGAAGTTACATTGAGTTTTAAGGTTCATATCTTTTGGATTGTTGAGTCTTCAACCGAGCAGACACCGTCGGTCTTTGCACTATAAATTTATAGATTCTATCTGCTAACGTAACTTAGTTCTTCCACTGCGTTGTGCTGAAATGAATTAGAAACTGACTTATAAATGTTGTGGTTGCTTGGGGGGGGCAATAGTCGTATGAGTTTGCTTCATGGAGCGTCTGCTAATCGGCGGGCTTCAGTCTGATTGAACGATAGCAATGTAGACGGAATTTATATCAGACCCAAATTCTCGTGTATTGTGTCGACTGACACGTTTATTACAGAGTATGTGTAAAACGTCTACTAAACGGAATATCTGTGCCAAGTCGGGTGACAGGCGTAAAGCTACCGGTGAACGTTTAATCAATCCAGTGTGTTGAAACCTTAAAGCAAAAAGTGTATTTCGAGTTACAAATAAGTGGAATCCTAAAACAATCAATGTTTTGAGAGATTGTGACTACGGTTAAATTGTGGTGCTTCTAGTGTGAATAAATTCAGTGTGACCAAAACTTCTGTTTTCCTATAATTCCAACAAGCAGTGTTAAACTATTTCGTGTGTTAAGAATGTGGTAAGATGTAACAATAAAAAGTCTCACAAATGTTATCTACTTAAGCTGTCGTGAAAATCTCAACGTGTTGCGATAAACATTTGAAAATACCGCCGGGATTGTATTATAGTGACTCACTTTTATCACGAAAACACGATTGGTTTATTGAAAACAATCATTATAACCAATTGTACTAGTGCTTGTTTCAATGTGCGTTTGTTTAACTGTGCTAATTACAGCCATTTTGTGCTTCCATTACATTCTATCATTGTTCCGCGGTTTTTGGCTTTGTTCGCACGTACTCCATTCTCCTGCTTTCGCTTGTACCATTTATTGTCACGAACTTTGTACTCGTTCGATACCACGAGATCGCCAACGAAATAAATCTGATTACGTTCAAACTACGCCTTCTGATTTCTTTGGCACGTGTTTCTTGATAGCGTTGTTCAAAGTTAATTTCGACTCGACGCCACGCTACATTATGAAGCAACTTAAATCATTTGCGTTTATTTCTTTCCATTTTGTTGTCGTATTTGCATTGACTGATTATTCCTTTGAAGTTGACTACACGATTCTTAAGAATTCCAAAAAAATAATGCATCTGACTGTGTCTTTCTAGTTCTGCCTGCTTTAAGTTCCACTATTTCGGGAATTCTTGGGTTGCAAATCAGTTTTTTTCTGCCTCCAGTCTAACAGTTCATTCCAATCCACTGATGTGTAAAAATGAAGAGTATCAAGACTTAAAGCGAATGAAAAATTTGAAGCTTCTCACTAGCGACCACGTCATTATTATTATTACTGATAAAAGAAATTTGTGGAGATCATAGAACTTTCACAATTTAAATCATGAACTAGTTTTATCCCGGCCATATTTAAACGCTAAAAAACCTTGAACAGCTGTTTAGTCTTGTGAATAAACTATTTGTGTTAAATCTATCGAAGCGTCCAAATCACCCAACTGAGATATACCTAAAATCAAAGTTCAGAATACGACGATTTATGTAGAATCGCGGTTCTTTATTAAATAATAAACAAAAATTAGTAACAATTCTCAACTTGTGAGGTTTCTGTGAAATTTTCTGCGTCTTTTTCTATGAAATAAACAGGCTTCGATAATGCAAAATGA